GGGGGCCACCACTTCGATTGAGGATGTACACAGGATTACGTGATTACAGGGATTACACGTCAATTTTGAATGATTACACGTGAGTTACGTTGAATTTTAGGCTCTAAAACAATCAAATTTAGACAATAAGGTAAAATTTAGTGATAATGTTTTAAAATTTGGTCAAGGATTACACGGAATAGATACGGATTACGTAGGGATTACACCCTCATATGTACACAGGATTACGCGAGTGGTGGCCCCCTCGGCTCGCTGGGTGAGTCGGTGCGGACAAGGGGAGGCTTGAATGTCGATGCATCGGGTGTTTTGGAGCACGCGCCACTGTGAAAAAATGTCGTCGAAAATTCCCATATTTGTTGCAATTTTTATTAACAAAATATGTTGTGAATTTGTGAAATCCCATTCTTTGCTTTGTCGATCAATTCCAAGTTGATACCAATTGCTTGTAAATTTGCATCTTTTAATTTGTGTGCTGCACCAGACACGATCGGAAAATATCGGAGAAATCAATAAAATTTAAATTCAAATATTCCTCATGACTCCGCCCCGGCACTGCGTGCTGGAAAGTCAATGTTCTGTTTGGTTAGCACGTGTCAATAGGGCGCCTCAGGTATGGCACAGAGCACAGCGCCTGAAGGCCTAAATTGGGTCCATCTCAATTCTATCCCGGAAAATGTTTCGAGGGGCGAGGGAGGAGGAGGCAGCTATTCCACTGCTGGAGCTGCAGCCGCAGCAGGAGAGCTCAAGTCAATGTATTATTAATGCTTCCTATGGAGAGAGGGCACCGTCGCTTTGATTTTCTGGTGCTTTTCTGTTGCAGGCGGTGGTCAACTCACGGCGACCCACATCACCGGGGGGACCCGTCCAGCGGCAGAAAACCAGCCATTAGCAAGTCAACCTTTGCGATCGGAACGTAGGAAGCACGGAGAGCCCCCAGAGGCTTTACTCCCGACTGCAGGGGACCGGAACGGGGAACCCTGAGAATTTCTCCTGACATTGGAGTGCAAATCCGTGCGAGGAAGTCTGGAGTCATTGAACCCGCGGCAAAGTTTGTTTTGGCCGTGACTTTGCTCACGTACTCTCCACGCAATTACAAAATAAATATTAAGTAACTTGAAAAGGTCGATGCGCGTGTGTGTGTGTGTGCCTTTATTTTTTCTCTTTTGCATTTCTGTTTTGGAAGCACGACAAGATAGGCATCAATTCTGAGAACCACAACAAACACCGACACAAAAGAAACTCGACCAAAACTGGCCAAAGCCGCAATTCGGCATAAACGCCGCTACCTCTAGTCGCTTGTAATCCATACGGCGCACGACCCGAGCGGTACTATATGAATCACAACAAGGGGCCAGTTTTGTTCTTTTATTATTTACGCAAAACGGGTGCCCTTGGAATCATTAATTTCGCCATAACTTAACTAACGGGGCCCCGGCGGAACGTTTTCTGCGACGCAGCAGCTGGCAGCGAGGGGGTTTTCACTCGAGATTTCCGTGCACACAGTATTTCGTAATACGTGTATTTCGTCGGTATTTCTCAGGAAAAGTTCACCGTTTTGGAGCATATTTAGGCGTATTTCGGTGTATTTCACGTGAAATACCTGTGAAATACCTCATTTGGTGTACACGGTATTTCAGAAGTGAAAACCCCCTCGGCTGGCAGCAGAGCCGTGAAATCCTATTGCGCAGTGCGCACTTGCATTATGGGTTTCTGGCGAAAAATAATAACGACAACCAGCAGAGAGGAGAGAGAGAGAGAGGGGGGGGGGTAACGTAGAGCAGGCAATAGGTATAAAAGTAAAAGCAGAATGAGGAAAAACTCAAGGTCAGGCCGCCACACTGGACTGCTTCAGTGAATCGGCAGTGGGTGACTGGGGCGAGCTAGGGCGGGCTGGCGCGCCGGAGCCTCGGCTGGAAGCTCGCCTGGAGCAGCCTGCTGCACTCCGGAGGCCCAGACGGTTGGGGAGGAGGCTGCTGTGCCGCGCCGGGCTGCGCGAGCCACGCGGCACGGGCGCACGACGCCCTCCTGGCCGTTCGCAAAACCGGAGACGGTCGGCGACGCGCGCGGGCGGGACCGGCCGGCCCGGCGCTAGGAAACGAATGAGCGTGATTATGTCACCGCCGCCTTCGACGGCCGCATTTTTCAAGTTTAACGACAGAAAGAAACCATCGGAGGCGGTGCGTTTCGCTCCGGTGCGCTGCTGCGAGTCTTTTGTCCGGCTGCGCGTCGCGCCGCACGGCGGCGTGGTGTGCCGGCCGCCGGCCAATGTCATGGGAAATGTCCTTATTTTTATAGACTAGTTAAGCGTCAGGGAAGCGGCGATCTCCCCACGTGGCTCTGCAAGACAAGTAACAAAGCAAAGATTATTCGAGAGTCGAGTTAGTGCGGGAGGGACATTCTTTTTATTTTTGAGCTAGCCGATCGCAGATTTTTTTTTTAATGGCTTTCTCGTGAGCGCGTTTTGATGGGCCGAAGACAGCCGTGAAGATCGGCGCGGCCGCGCCCCGCCCCGCGACCCGACAGTAAACTGCAGCCAGACGACACCACCGGCCGGTCACGTGATACCACTGCTTGGACTTTGCATGCGGCGAGCCCCACCCAGAATTAACATTCTCATTCGCAACTTGACAGATTGTATCTGAATTGAACACGAGTGATAACCGAGCGTTGGTAGGCGGCGGCGGCGTCCCAAAGACGTCAGCGAATATATATGTCACCGGGGCGCGGAATCCGACACCAAGCCGCACACCAATCAAGTGTACGAAAGACACATGTGAACGCCGAGACACACGGAAAAGACCGCGAGAACTAACGGCACGTCGTGCCTTCCGCGGCCAGGCGGCGGGCACGGCAGCGCACAGCGTCAACATCATTATTTACCTACAATCAGAACTTTCCCCTAAAACCGACCAAACAAGTGGCTTTAATGCGGCGCGCTAACCGCGGCGCCGGCCTTGGGGCGGCCGGGAGTGCAAGCGCAGTGCTGGAAGAAAGGAGTGCGCGGGGGGCGGGAGTGCGAGCTGGAAGAAAGCACCCGAAAGTGTATCTACAGTGGTAAACAAGTTGAACACTTGCAAGAGTTGCACTACACGCACACTGAGAAAAAAAAATCTGTCTCAGCACTATACGTTTAGTCCCCAGATCGACGTTTTTTCGTTGCACTATACGTCTAGCGCTGGGAGCTAAACGTAGCATCCCAGGCAAAGAAAATTTAGAGCACAGCACTAGAACTCAATGGCAGGTCACTATCTCATTTTGAGCTGGGACAAAAGTCGGGAGCATTAGACTTACGTTTAGTGCCCGGACAGAAATATTTTTCTCAGTGCAGTCGTACACTTACCCCTACCAGTCCAACTCGGTAGTTGTGCACTTGTACGTGAGCAACACCTCTGTTTCAACAATTCCCACACGGATTCAGCGTCCCTAGGGAAGTGTACAACAGAGGAGTTGCACTCTTACAAGCAGGGCACAGCTACCGTGTTGAACACATGCAAGTACTTACTCCGGCGGTTGAAGCATGGTTAAGCCGTAGTCCACTTTAGTTTATCAGTGTGCAGAACCAACCAAGTTATGCTGGGTCCAAGCATGACTTGGCTGTTTCTGGTTCACATTTCTCTCACTGTTAAAAGCTTACAGTGATTTTCACTGTAAGCTACGGTGAATTAAACTGTATGCTACAGTGAATCTCACCGAAAGCTACGGTGAATCTCACAGTAAGATACAGTGCTTTCACTGTAGCTTAGGGTGCAAATCACTGTAAGCTTTTTACAGTGCTCATGTAGGGCGCGTGTCGCGATACGTAGGGCAGGAGCGCAGCGGCTCACTGCAAGGCCACGGCCACCTGCCCCCTCTCTTCCTCCCTGCAGCTCGGCGCGCGCGCTCCAAACTCTCCATTCAGCCCGCCATGAACGCCCGGCCCGGCCCCGCCCCGCGCGGAGCCGACCCGGTGCAACGAACTCGCGCCGTGTGGTCCATCCAAGCGCTCGGCCTGGTGGGTGATGGCAGTCCCTTCCCTTGAGGCTGTCCCAAAGGAAAAAAACGTTTCCCGTTTTCGACCAAATTTGTCAATTTTTCCTTATGCTCGTTTACCGCTCCAGTTTTGATAAGCCGAAGTTGATAACGATCTGTTGCCTTTTTCAATTGTAGCTAATATTGCCATTCTTTTGTTGTGTTCGCAATAAAAACAATGTTTGACTTTTTGAGGAAAAAAAGAAAACTTTGAGGAACTTCCAGAATTTGGGGGTGGTAAAAGTCTCCTCAAAAAGTGAAAGAAATTGCCTCAAAAAACCTGACGACTTTTCCTAAAATTATGGGAGTTCTTTGAAGTTTTCTCGATTTCGCCAAAAAATCACTCATTGTTTTTACTGAGTTGACTTGTTGTTTCACGGCACTCCAGCTGGGTTCGGAGTCGATAATTGAAGTTTGTGATATAGTTTACCGACTTGGTAAACAGCTCATCTTCAAGACAATTTTCTCACGCCTCCCCGCCAAAACTTACGTAATCTGAGCACGAACGCTTTACAGGAGGCGCATTTGTGATGACTATCTGACGTGTGGCTGCTTGTAACAGCGACCATTATACCGTTCCCAACTAATTTGTTTCTGTTGTTCTGTTTTTCAGGTAAACGATAAGAGATCGGGACATGTGTGACCATACTACTTACTTGTCGGTCGCCGTCATCAAAGTATTCCACTCGGAGACAGAGGTCGGCGAGCCGAGCCGAGCGCCCGAGCCGAGCCGAGCCCGGCCGAGCGCGGGACGGAGAGCCGAGCCGGGTCGTGCCGATCCTATTCATCGGCGCTAATTGCTGTTGCCGTATGGCACATTGCGCCAGGCTTTGCTGCACTCGGTCAGCAGCAGCGGTTAGGTAACGCGCGGAACTCTGTAATTGGCGAAAAAATTGGCCACACTTGTCCGCGAGATGGTCCCGGCCGCGGCGCGTAAAGTCGTATGCGTGTTGTTGTGCCTGATGAGTAGTGTCGAGTGTGAGTGGACGTGTCAGTGAGTGAGTGTGTGTGTGTGTGTGTGTGTGTGTATGTGCGTGTGTACAGGCGTGTGTGTACGCGTGTGAGTGCGGCGTTCAGACAAATTGGCTGTAGCCTACCTGACGGCCGGCCGCACATTGTGTATCTCGGTTCTCGATCCTTCCAGGCACGCGTCCGTCAGTCATGTTCATGTCGAATGAAAAATATGATTCGGCCACCGGCTTTACGCACATCATAGCGCCTCTTCTGTCTTCATGCCCCGTATAGTTGAAAGGGGCCCTATAGATAGACTGATGCGGCCTCAGACCTCAGGCGGGGCGCTCCTCCGGGGCCAAGTAGTCGAATCGCACCATCTGCACCGTCACCGAGGTGGAGACTTCCCACCAGGACGACGAACAAAAATACCTCCGTCCTCTGTCCGCGAGAGGAAGTATTCCACAGCTCGTCATCATTGTCTTGCGAGGCACAAGACAAAATGATGCTGCATATGGACCGCGCGGACGGAACAATCCTATGGATCACTCAGCAGCAGCAGCAGCAGCGGCGGTAGGGATTAGGAGGGACAACCGTTATGCGGAATCCTCTCTACCTGCAGCCAGCCCGCGGGGTCGCGCGGGTAAGGTGGATAGATGGATCGTCAGTTTACGTAACCAAGGGTCCCAGGACAGGGCAAGCCAGGACTGACTGAGAAAGCTTGACCTGGTTCTTGCTCTTAAACGGTATTTCGGACAGGTCGGATGCATCGGGACGGGCGGATTATTGCGTGCCCTTCTAACGGTTCTGCGATCCTAGCCGTGGACAAGAGAGAGGCACCGCCCAAGTCTCAACGGAACGTTTGCACCACGTTCACACAGATTTCGGTTTACATTTTCACCTGCAAAATGAGCTGCGGCTGGTAAGCTGGGACTGCTTTGTCTCCTTACTCAGCGCCTGCGAATCGCGGGCAGGCAACCCAGCAATGCGCGCCTGTCTGACGGGACTGCCTGCCTGCCGGGCGGGCCGCCGCCGCCGCACAGCCGCGCAGCCAGCCAGCGCGTCGCACTGGTCGCGCGCCTACCGGCCGCCCCGGCCCTCGCGGCACGCGGCGGCACGCGGTGTACGCAGACATACATCCTGGCGGTCCCGGCGGGCGAGCGCT